GATAGCTAAGGATGTGGAGCACTTTCTTAAGTGTCCTTCAGCCTTTTTGATTTCCTATATTGAGAATTCTTTCTTCATTTCTGTACCCCATTTTTTAATAGGGTTGTTTGGTGTTTTATTGGCTAGTTTCTTGAATTCTTTGTGTATTTTGGAGATCAGACCTTTGTTGCATATAGGATTAGTGAAAATCTTTTCCCAGTCTGAGGGCTGCCATTTGGTCTTGTCCACTGTGTCCTTTGCCTTACAGAAGCTTCTAAGTTTGAAGAGGTCCCATTTACTAGTTGTTTTGCTCAGTATCTGTGCCCCTGGAGTTATGTTCATGAAGCTGTCTCCTATACCAATTTGTTCAAGGGTACCTCCTACTTTCTCTTCTAAGAGGTTCAATGTGGCTGGATTGATGTTGAGGTCTTTAAAACATTTGAAGTTGAGTTTTGTGCATGGCGACAGACAAGGGTCTATCTGCAGCCTTCTACACACCCTCATCCAATTGTGCCAGCACCATTTGTTGAAGATGCTGTCCTTGCCCCATTGTATAATTTTAGCTCTTTTGTTGAAAATCTGGTTTTCATAGGTGTGTGGGTTAATGTCAGGAGTTTCAATTCGATTCCATTGGTCTACCTGTCTATTTTTGTGCCAACACCATGCTGTTTTCTCAACTATAGCTCTGTAGTAGAGCTTAAAGTCAGGAATCTTGATGCCTCCTGAAGTTCTTTTATTTTATAGGGTTGTTTTGGCTATCCTGGGTCTTTCTTTTGTTTTGCCATATAAAGTTGATTATTGTCCTTTCAAGGTCGGTGAAGAATTGTGGTGGGATTTTAATGTGGATTGCATTGAATCTGTAGATTGCTTTTGGCAAGATTGCCATTTTTACTATGTTTATTCTACCTATCCAAGAGCATGGGAGATCTTTCAATATTCTGGTATCTTCTTTAATTTCTTTTGAGCCACAAAGTTCTTATTATATTGGTCTTTTACTTGTTTGGTAAGCATTACACCAAGATACTTTATGATGCTTGTGGCTATTGTAAAGCGTGATGTTTCTCTGATATCTTTCTCTGCCTCTTTGTCATCTGAAAAGAGTAGGGCTACTGATTTTTTTGAGTTTATCTTGTATTCTGCTAGTTTGCTGAAGGTGCTTGTCAGCTGTAGGTAGAGTTTATTGGGTCGCTTATTAAACTATCATATCATCTGAAAATAGACAGTTTGACTTCTTCCTTTCCAATTTGGATCCCCTTGATCTCCTTTTGTTGTCTTATAGCACTAGCTAGAACTTCTAGTATGATATTGAAGAGAAATGGAGAGAGATTGCAGCCTTGTCTTGTTCCTGATTTTAGAGGGATTGGCTTAAGTTTCTCTACATTCAGTGTCATGGTGGCTGTTGTTTTGCTGTATATTGTTCTTATTATGTTCAGGTATGTTCTTGTTATCCCTGATCTCTCAAAGACCTTTATCATGAAACGGTGTTGAATTTTGTCAAAGGATGTTTCAGCATCTAGGGAGATGATCATGTGGTTTTTCTTTTTCAGTTTTTTTATATGGTGGATCACATTGATAGATTTTCGTATGTTAAACCATCCCTGCTTTGTCCTGGGCTTCTTTAGTAGACTTTTGATTGTTGCTTCTATTTAATTAGGGGTTTTGCAACGATTTAATTTGGTTATCTGTTCTTATTTAAAATTTTAATGACATCTGTTTTGAAATTTGTGCATTGACTTCAAATTTTTAAAATTTGTGCAGTACAGGTTTTCAAAGTATGACCTGTAGAGTCATTGTATTTCTTCAGTGTCTGTTGTTATGTCCCTCATTTCATTTTGGATTTTATAATGTGCACATTGTTTCTTTTATTTTTTGTGAGTTTCTATAAATGTTTTTCTCTTATTGATTTTCTTGAAGAGGTAACTCTTAGTTACATTGATTCTGTGTATTATTTTCTTGGTTCTACTTTATTGATGTCATCCTCCATTTTGTTATTTCCTGGTGGCTTCTTCTCTGGGGTGAGTCTGTTTCTTTTTGTTTCAGTGCTTTTGTTTTTGTTGCTAATTCTCTAATGTGACTGCCCTGCATTCCCTTTATGTGGGCACTTATTGCAATGAACTTTCCTCTTAGTACTGCTTTTAAATTTTCCCAAAAGTTTGGGTATATTGTGTATTCATTCTCCTTGAATTCTAGGATGTCTTTAATTTTTTTCTTTCTTTCTTCTTTGACCCTGTAATTGCACATTCTTCAGTTTCCATGTGTTTGTAGGATTTTTTTCAATTTGTGTTGTTGAATTCTAACCTTAAAGCATGGTTTTCTGATAAGATACATGGGGCTCTTTCAATTTTTTTTTGTTTATTTGTTTTTATTTGTTGAGGTTTGTGGAGCATGTGGTTGAATTTAGAAAAGGATCCATGTGATGCAGAGAGGAAGGTATATTGTTTTTTGTTTGGGTGTAATGTCCTATAGATGTCTGTTAAATCCAATTGGGTCATAACTTCTGTTGGTTTTTTTTTTTTTTTTTTTTTTTTTGCTTTATTCCTTGTTTCTGTACAGTGGACCTGCCTAGTGGTGAGAGTGGGGTGTTGTAGCCTCCCACTATAAGTCTGTGAAGTTTTATCTGTGACTTGAGTGTTAGTAATGTTTCATCTATGAACAAAGGTGCCTTTGTATATAGGGACATAGATTTTAGAATTGAGACTTAATCCTGGTGGGGTTTTTTTCCTGTGAAGAATATGAAATGATCTTCTTCATCTCTTTTGATTGATTTTACTTTGAAGATTAACTTGATTATATATATATATATATATATATATATATATATATATATTATTTCAGGATAGCTACAACAGATTGTTTCTTGCATTTATTTGAATGGAAGATCTTTCCCTAACTCTTTACTCTAAGGTAGTGTCTCATTTGAAGTCCATTGTGTTAGCATCTGTCTTTTTGTATGAGAGTTAAGACCATTATAGTGAGGGAAATAAGGATTATTGATTGTTTATTCTTGTAAGTTTTAGATTAGATGTTGTGCATAGATTTACCCTGCATTTTATTTTGGCATCTGGTAAAGTGGGATTATCTATTGCCTATGTTTTTCCTTGGGTTTGGTTTTTCCTCTAGAAATTTTTGTAGGATTGGATTTGTGGATATGTATTGTGTAAATCATTTTTATCATGGAATATCTTGTTTTCTGCATCTATAGAGATTGAGATTTTTTTCTGGGTATAGTAATCTGGGTTGGCATCCATGGTTTCTAGTGTTTCTAGAACATCTTTCCAGGACCTACTGGTTTTCAGGGACAAGTCAGGTGTATTTCTGATAGGCTCTATATGTTACTTGGTCTTTTCATTTTGCTGCTTTGAATATTGTTTTTTATTATGTATATTTGCTGTTTTGATTATTATATGGTGAGGGGACTTTTATTATTTTATTTTATTTTTATTTTTTTGGCCAAGTTTTGCTTGGTGATCAGTAAGCTTCTTGTACTTTCATAGGCATGTCATTCTTCAACCGGGGAAGTTTTCTTCACTGATTTTGTTGAATATATTTGCTGCACCGTTAAGCTGGGCTTCTTTGCCTTCTTCTATTCCTATTATTCTTAGGCTTGATCTTTTCACAGTGTCTCACATTTCTTGGGTGTATTGTGTTAGGGATTTGTTGGATATAAGATTTTCTTTGATCGATGAATCTATTCCTCTGGTTTACATTCAGCACCTGAGATTCTCTTTTCTATCTACTGTATACTGTTGGTTTGGCTTGCATCTGTAGTTCCTGATCATTTGCCCAGTTTTCTCTTTATAGCATTCCCTCAGTTTGTGGGTTTTTGTTGTTGTTGTTTCCTTCATCTGTTTGATTGTTTTTTTCTTGGCTTTCCTTAATATCTTTAAGAGATTTGTTCATTTCCTGCATTTTTGCTTGGTGTTTTCTTCTATTTCTTCCAATTTTTTGTTTGTTTATTTTCCCACTTCTTTAAAGGATTTTTTTTTTCATATCATCTTTGAGGGTCTCTATCATTTTTATAAAGGTGATTTTTAAATCATTGTCTTCTACTTCATCTACTTTGGTGTGTTCAGGTCTAGTTTGTGTAGAGTCACGTAATTCTGGTGGTGTTATACTGGTCTTTCTATTGTTGGGTGTTTTCTTGTTCTGTTGTCTTCCCATTGCTTCTTCCAGTGGGTGCAGGTGGAGTCTTTCTCTCTACTCTGGATGGGTGTTTGTGGGTCAGGAATTCAATAATTTTAACTCTGGATCATCATAGCTCTCTTGGAGGTCTCTCCTCTGGCACAGGGCAGGAATTGAGGTCCAAAGATCAGTTGACTGCAGGCTCAAGGTGTTCCCATGTTTCCCTTCATGTACTATCACCTGTTTCATTACTATTAAAACATGAGAATTTAATACCTTCACACCTCTTTGTAAAATGCTGACTTTGGACCAGGTATTACTCCACATAAAGAAAATTTAATTTTCACCGTTGATATCTGATATAGAAACAAGAAAGAAAGCAAAAAAGAAAGAAAGAAAGAAGTTATAAACATGGGCTTATATGTCATAGAACTTATAGATGTCTAATAAATATGGATATCAATAAATATGCTAACTTTGTCAATAACTATAATTGAACATTGAGGATCAAATGAATAAAACAAAATGAATGTAACTTTATTGTAAAGGATATTTTGCTTATCAGCATAATAGGGTAAGGCATGGCAAAGGGAAGAACAGAGAAGATTTACCTTCTAAGGTAAGAAGAAAATATAAGAGACATTTCTTAAATTGGGAAAAATTAAGGCTCCCAAATTATTCAACGGATACCCGCTGTACTCTTGTAATATGAGTATAATTATAATTTAGTGATCTTTTGAATACAATAAAAAAGATTGGGTTTAATTTTACTATTATTACACTTATATTTGTTAGTGGCTATCAAACAAAAGGATGATAGTTATATCATGTGATGCTTAAGAATTTAGATATCAAGGGATTATGGGTAATAATATTTATTTTGTATTACATTTTTAAAGGAGTCATAAGAATATCTTCTAAAATGGATAGAGAATTACAAGATACATATTGCATCATTATTCAAGCCAGAGACATGCTTGGTCAGCCTGGAGCCTTGTCTGGAACAACGATTGTATCAATTACACTCTCTGATATTAATGACAACAAGCCAATATTCAAAGAAAGTGAGTAGAAAGTATTTTGGAATTAGATTTATTTTATACCATGTCAATATACAAAAGTAGTAATGTTTTCACTCAACATAAACCATTAACTATATATATATATATATATATATATATATATATATGTATGTATAATTTTTCTTATTTTCCATATTGACCACAGTTCCCTCTCCCTCTTTCCCTCCAATAACCCTTGACACCTTTTCCCATCCCATTCCATCCCACTTCACAAGGAAAGTGATGTCTTCCAGGAGAGATCTTCAAAATCTTTCAAGTTATTTGAGTAGGGTCTAGACCCTCCCTCCTTCCGGGGAATGTGCTCCCAAAGTCCTGTTGTAACCAAGGGATACATCCTGGTTCCACTGTCAGAGATCCCTTAGACTGCACAGGCCTTCTAAGTTAAACCCATGTTCAAGGGCTATGAGTCAGTCTAATGGTGGTTTCTCTGCTATCAGCTGAGTCTGGGGGTCCATGAGATCACCCTTGTTCAGTTCAGCTGTTTCTGTGGGTTTCTGTAGCTGGTTTTGACCCCATTTCTTATCACTCCTCCCTCTTTGAAACTGGTTTCCAGGAGTTCAGCTCAGTCTTTAGCTGTTGGTGTCCGCTACTATTTCCATTAGCTACTAGATGAGGGCTCTATGATGACATACAAGTTAGTTATCAATCTCATTATCAGGTAAGAACATTTAAGATAGCCTATTCACTGTTGTTCAGATGGTTATTTATGGTCATTCTTGTAGGTCTCTGGACTTTCTCTAGAGTCAGTTTTCTCCTCAAACCTATAATGGTTCCTTCCTATCATGGTATCTCTCTCAATTTTTTGACCCCCAACCCAATCTTCCTGTCCCACTTGTTCTCCTCTCCTCCCCTTCTCTTTCTCCTAATTTCCTTTCCACTCACTGGCGCTCCCTCCCAAAATGCTTAGATCTTGTTCCTTTCCCCTTATGTGAGGGATTTTGTATGAATCTCATAGGTTACTCCTTGTATCCTAGTTTCTCTGTAGGTGTGAATTATAGGCTGATGATTCTTTGCTTTATGTCTAAAATACATATATGAGTGAATACATACTATGTTCCTCGTTTTTTGACTGTGTTACTTCACTCAGGATGGTTTCTTCAGGATCCATCCATTGTTCCATGAATTTGAAGTTTCCATTGATGTTTTTGCACTAAGTCCTATTCCAGTGTGTAAATGTACCACATTTTTTTTCTATCCATTTTTCATTTCAAGGGTATATAGCTTGCTTCCAGGTTCCTGCTATTACAAATAATTTTGCTATGAACATAGTTGAACAGATGTATTTGTTGCATAGATGGGGATCATTTGGGTATATGCCCAAGAGTGGAATTGCTGGGTCCTGTGGTAGACTGATTCTCGTTTTCCTGAGGAATAGCCATACTGATCTCCAAAATGGCTGTATAAGTTTGCACTCCCACCAACTGTGGAGGAGTGTTCCCTTTCTCCACATCCTTTCCAGCATAAGCTATCATTGGTGTTTCTAATTTTATCCATTCTGACAGGAGTATGATGGAATCTCAGAGTTGTTTTGGTTTGCATTTCCCTGATAGCTAAAGATGTTGAGTAATTTCTTAAATGTCATTGAACCATTTTGAATTCCTCTATTGAGAACTTTCTATTCACTTTTGTCACCTACTTTTTAATAGAGTAATTTGATGTTTTGGTGACTAGTTTCTTGAGTTCTTCGTATATGTTGGAGATCAGCCCTCTTTCCAATGTGGGGTTGGTGAAGATCTTTTCCCAGTCTGTTGGCTGCCATTTGGTCTTATTGACTGTGTCTTTTGCCTTACAGAAACTTTTCATTTTAAATATAAAAATGACATAAAATATATGTGCTAATTTTTTACAATAGAGTTGTTCCAATTTGTCTTAAAAATATGAAATAAAAAATCATCACCATATCTACATAACATTGCTGTAGTCACCAGTTGCAAGAAACTGACAACTGATCTGTAACCTTTATTAATTTTGTTATGTGTTTCATTATTTTATAATTCAAACATCCTATATATTTTGAGCATGACATATTACTTTGATAATTAGAGTGTTTGCATTGTTCATTTGTCTGTGTAACTAGAACTAGACTCAGATTCCTTGAGCCCTATTAGCTGGAGGACTCTCTTAATCTTTAGGTTGCCTGGTAACTTTTGATTGAACACACATCTCAGAAGAATCTAATGAAGTAAATATTTCTTACCCTGACAAATCTGTGCACAATATTTTTGCCTGTACTTCTACTTCAATGAGGTCTCATGCTTAGGGTGTGACACTAAGGTGAGATGGAGTAAATTTCTGTTGTCAGTTTAGCTTCCTACCAATTTAATTCTATCTGCAAGTTGGACTCCTTTAGCTATTACAATAAATATATCCTTTGAATAATAGGAACTTGAGATGAATACATTTTTAATTGTTTTTCTGAATATACAATAAGAATTGAACTAGAAATTTTAGTTTATATTCTTTAGCTAGAGACAGCAACATTTGATCTGCTTGTTTATTCTTTATTTTAAATTGTGTGAAATGTAATTATTTCTCTTTTCTCAAGAAGTCTGTCTTTCAAACAACAATAACAAAATAACATTACAAACATTTTTAAGAGCATGGACAGTTTTCAATTGTCATATTATAATGCTATTTAATAAGAACTAAACAAAATAGAGAATAGAATATATATACTTCAGGCATAGCATAATTTACTGGATATCGATTATTTATGTACATACATATGTATATGTATATGTATATATTATATATATATGTAATTTTATTTGGCTTTTAATTTTTATATTTTTAAACGTCTGTTAGTACTGTTTTGTCATTTCTGTTTTTCATATGTTACTCCTTTTTAAAAATTTTTGTTACCTGGTATCAATCTGTATGTCACAATATTTCGCAACACATAGCTACTGTTCTGCCTCAATTTTGCAAGTTAGGCAAATATAATATAAGGTATAATATCTGAGAAAACTACCTTTTGATTGACTTTCTATCTCATTCACCATTAACCACATCCCCCAAAGTGCTTCTTTTTACATTTTTCTTATGTAATACTGCCTGCATTGAAAGTGATGGCACTGCATATATTTGTTTACTGCTCTTTACTGATTCCTGTCAGTAACTGTTCATAAGCTGATTTCAAACTTGGCAACTTTAATTGTTTTATTGGGGTGATAGTTTACTCTGGATTTTACTGTATGAATATGTATGAAGTTACCAATCGTAAATACTAGACATAATTCTATTTGGACAGTAATCCGTAATTCCATACATAGTAAGTCTTCTAGAAGAATGTTATGTACAACATAACAACATTGAGTCAACAAGTAAAATAACATACACAGAATATGTAATACTGGTGCTAGAGTATTAGAATATAATGAAACTTCTTCCTTTGTATATATTGCATACTTTTATGATGTCACATTTTTTTTTCAAGTTCATGTTATAGTCTGAGATATCCTTCAAATCTCTTATCCTTGGATCTTTTTCCACATCAATTAATTTCAAATTACAGTTTTATATTGTCCATGCAGAAATTAACTCAAAAAATGGCTCCCACTATCAAGGTATCTCTTTCCTTGCTCTCTTTCTCTCTCTTTCCCAAATTCAACCTTCTTGATCCTGCATGTTCTTCTCTCCCTTCCCCTTTCTCCCTACTCTTTCTCCTACCATTCTCTCACATCTCCCCATGTGCCCTAACTACTCAGGAGTTCTTTTTACTTTGCACTTCTCAGAGACTCAATGAAGATCTCTCTTGGGGTCCTCCTTGTTTCCTAGTTTCTCTGGGGTTATGAAGGTCTCCTGGTTATCCTTTTCACAATGTCTAAAATCCACATATGATTTAATACATACCATGTTTCTCTTTCAGTGTCTAGATTACCTCAGTCAAATGGTTCCTACCAGATCCATTAATTTGCCTGCATATTTCAAGATGTCATTGATTTTTAATTCTAAGTAGTACTACTTTGTGCATATGTACCACATTTTCTTTATCCATTCATAAATTGAGGGAAATCTAGGTTGCTTCCAGGTTTTGGATATTACAAACAATGCTGTTATGAACATAGTTGAACAGATGTCCTTTAGGAATGAGTGTGCATCTTTGGACATATATGTTCAAGAGTGGTATTGGTGGATCTTAAAATAGAATGATTCTGATTTTCCTGAGACACTGCCATACTGATTTCCAAAATGACTGTAAATGTTTGCATTCTCATTAGGAATGGAGGATTGTTCCCCTTACTTCACATCATCTCCAGCATAAAGTTTCATTAGTGTTTTTCTATTATTATTATTATTTTAGCAATTCTGTAAGGTGAAAGACATTATCTCAGAGTTGTTTTGATTTGCATTTGATGAATAAGGATGTTGAGTAATTTCCTACATGTCTTTCTGCCATTTGAGATTCCTTTGCTGAGAATTCTCTACTCTGAGTTTAATCGAAATATGCCATAATTTAATGTCTATTTTCTATAGTTCTTTGCATATTTTGGAGATTAGCTCTCTATCATATCTGGGATTAGGGATTCTTTGTTTGTTTGTTTAATTGTTTTCCTTCTGTAGGCTACCATTTCGGCTTGTTGACAATGTCATTTGCCTTACAGAAGCTTCTTGGTTTCAGGAAGTCCCAATTACTAACTTTTATCTCAATGACTGAGCTACTGGTGTTATATTCAGGAAGTGGTCTCTTGTGCCAATATTATCAGGGACACTTTTCACATACTCTTCCAAATGGGTCTGTTTTCTAGAATTCATGGAAAGTTCTTCGATCCATTTAATCTTAAATTCTGTACATGGCAATAGATATACATGTATCTGCAATCTTCTATATGTCAGCATCCAGTTATGCCAACAATATTTATTGAAGATGCTTTGTGTATGCCAATGGTCAACCTGCTTGGTTTTTATTTATTTAATTATTTATTTATTTATTTATTCTTTGTGACAACAGCAAGCTTTTTTCATTACTATAGATTCATAGTGGAGCTTGAAGTGAGGGGTGGTGTTTGTAATACTCAACAATGTATGAAAAAACAAGGCAAAACAAAACAACAAAACAGTGATATACAATGAAAGAACATCTGGAGGCATCATCATCCCTGACTTCATGTTTAGTTTTAATCTTATACTTAAATTTTCTTAATAATATAAGATACCAAAAATAGTTCAAGAAAATTTGATCAGTTATTTTCACCAAGTTTGACTAGGTTTGATTATAGGATATAGTAAAAATAAGCTAATTATATTGAGAAGAATTACATAAATAGAAATGTGAAGTATACATAATGTTATGATGTAATTTTGAGAAAATTCTGATAATTAAACTGATGTTAAAAATTCTCCAAGTAAATGAGAAGTAATAAACATAAATGGACATATCTAAGAGAGAAAATATTATTAAATTATACAACAGGTAGCTAGCAGAAAAGGGAGTGGTTTGCATAATATCACAAAGAAAATATAAAATTGGCAGTTTCATATGATAACAGAACTTATCTTATTAATGGACTTTGGTTTCCAAAGGTTTCTACCGCTTCACTGTATCTGAATCTGCACCTAGTGGGACAACTATTGGAAAAATAATGGCATATGATGATGACATAGGAGATAATGCCAAAATGGACTATAGCATTGAAGACGATGATTCAGAAATATTTGACATCATCACTGATAATGAGACCCAAGAAGGGATAATTATACTTAAAAAGGTACATATGTTTAAATCTTTATGGAATTGTTTAAAAAATTATAAAATAAACATCTATAAATATAATCAGTAGTTGATTAGTGTTTGCTTATAATTTAACTGAGATATCATGATGTATAGCTGGGAAATAAAGTTAATTTACAGATGAATAATGTATATATATATATATATATATATATATAATCTTATTTTACATGTTTTACATATCCTTCCCTATCCTGCTTCACTTTACCTCCCTCCAAGCCATGATCTCTGACCCCTTCTACCATCCCATCCCCCACTCCACAGGGAGGGGTCATAAAAATCTGTCAAGTCATTTGAAGTAGGGTCTAGTTCATCCCTCTAGTCTCTAGGCTAAGGGAGTATCACTCCATGGAAAATGAGCTCCCAAATAAACTGTCAAGAGGTCCTTAAGATTGCCCAGGCCTTATCTTTGAGACCTATGTTCAGGGGGTCTGAGTCAGTATAATGCCTGTTTCCCTTCATGGGAAATGTGCACACAAAGTCCTTTTGTCCACAAGGAATACATCTTGGTTCCACTGTCAGATTGCCCAGGCAAGGGGTTCTGAGTAAGTACAATGCTAGTTTCCAAGCTATCAGGCTGGAGGTCCATTAACTCAGGTCAGCTGACACTGTGGGCTTCTATAGCCTGGTCTTGACCCGTATGCTTATCATTCCTCCCTCTCTGTAACTGGATTCCAGGAGTTAGGATCAGTGTTTAGTTATGGGTGTCTACTTTTATTTTCATCAGCTACAAGTTGAGGGCCCTATGATGGCATATAAATTAGTTATCAATCTCATTATCAGGGAATGGCATATAAGGTAGTCTTTCCACTGTTGCTAAAAAATTGTAATTATGGTAATTCTTGTAAGTCTCTTGATATTTTCCTAGATTCAGTTTTCTCTTCAAACTTATAATTGCTCCCTCACAATGGTCTCTCTCTCTCTCTCTCTCTCTCTCTCTCTCTCTCTCTCTCTCTCTCTCTCTCTCCCCTCTCATCTATTGATCCACAAACTCAATCTTCCTAGTCTCACATGTTCACCTCTCCTCCCTTTATCTTTCTCCTAACTCGAACTCCACTCACTGGCCTCACCCCCACTCCCAATATGCCCAGGATATAATGTTCCTTTCCCCTTCTTTGAGGGACCTTAGTTTCCTCCTTGTATCCTAGTTTCTCTGGAAGTGTGAATTATAGGCTGGTGATCCTTTGCTCTATGTCTAAAATCCATGTATGTGTGAGTACACACCATGTTCCTCTTTTTGACACTGGGTTACTTCACTCAGGATGGTTTCTTCAACTTCCATCCATTTTCCTACAAATTTCAAGATTCCAATATTTTTTTTCCTGCTGAGCAGTATTCCATTGTGTAAATATGCCACATATTCTTTATCCATTTCAGGTGAGGGGAATCCAGGTTGCTTCCAGGTTCTTGCTATTACAAATAATTTTGCTATGAACATAGTTGAACAGATGTATTTGTTGCATAGATGTGGAGCATTTGGGTATATGCCCAAGAGTGGAATTGCTGGGTCCTGTGGTAGACTGATTCTCATTTTCCTGAGGAACTGTCATACTGATCTCCAAAAAGGCTGTATAAAATTTGCACTCCCACCAGTAGTGGAGGAGTGTTCCCCTTTCTCCACATTCTCTCCAGTACAACTTGTCATTGCTATTTCTAATTTTAGCCGTTCTGGCAGTAGTAAGATGGTATCTCAGAGTTGTTTTGATTTGAATTTTCTTGATAGCTAATGATGTTTAGAAATTGCCTTAAGCTTCTCTCCATTCATTTGATGTTGGCTGTTGGATTATTGTATATTGCTTTTATTATATTCGGGTATGTTCCTGATATGTCTGATCCAAGACATTTATCATGAAAGCATCTTGAAATTTGTCAAAGGATTTTGCAGCATCTAGTGAGATAATCATATGGTTTTTGTTCTTCAGTTTGTTTATATGGTGGATCACATATATAGATTTCCATATGTTGAACCATTGCTGCATCCACGGGATTAAGCCTACTTGGTCATTGTGGATGATTTGTCTGATGTGTTCTTGGATTCCATTTGCCAGTATTTTATTGTGTATTTTTTTTATCAATGTTCATGAAGAATATTGGTCTATAGTTCTCTTTCTTAGTTGCGTCTTTGTGTCACTTGTGTACCAAGGTAATTTTAGCCCTATGAAAAAGAGATTCATAATGAACCTTCTTCTCCTATTCTGTGTAACTTTTTGAAGAGTATTGGTCTTAGTTCTTCATGATCTTTTTGTAGAATTCTACACTGAAGACATCTGTCCCTGGGTTTTTTTGTTTTGTAGGCATTTGACAATTGCTTCTATTTCATTAGGTTTATAGGTCTGTTTAAGTTGCTTCTCTGTTCTTTATTTAATTTTGGTAAGTCATAGCTGTCCAGAATTTTGTCCATTTCCTTTGAATTTTCAAATTTTGTGCAGTACAGGTTTTCAAAGTATGACCTGAATATTCTCTGGATTTCCTGAGTGTCCCTTGTTATGTTCCCTTTTTCTTTTCTGATTTTGATGATTTGCATGTTCTCTCACTGCTTTTTGGTTAGTTTCGATAAAAGTTTGTCTATCTTGTTGATTTTCTCAAAACAGCAACTCTTTGTTGCATTGATTTTTGTATCGTTTACTTGGTTTCTTGTTTATTTATTTGAGCCATCAAATTGATTATTTCTTGGCATTTACTCCTCTGGGGTGAATTTGCTTCTATTTGTTCTAGGGCTTTCAGTTGTCCTGTTAATTTTCTAATGTAATTATCTTCCATTGTCTTCACATGGGCAATTAGTGCAATGAACTTCCCTGGTAGCACTGTTTTTAAAGTGTCCTCTAAATTCAGGTGTCTTCATTCTGGTTGAATTATAGAAATTATTTTATTTCTTTATTTTTTTTTCTTCACACAGGAATGGTGCAATTGTGCATTGTTCAGTTTCCATCAGTTTGTAGTGTTGTTGTTGAATGTAAATTTAAAGCATGGTGTGATGGTGTGTTTCTTGTATGCAGCAGAATTGTGGATTTTGTTTTCATATCCATTCTGTTAGCCTGTGTGTGTGTGTGTGTGTGTGTGTGTGTGTGTGTGTGTGTGTGTGTTTTACTCAAGTTAAGACCAGTCATTTTGAGGAAAAATAAGGACCATTAATTGTTAATTCATGTTTGTTTTGTTTTGTTGGTTTGGTATTGTGAGTATATTTGCCCAGCCTTTTCTTTTTGTGTCCTGGTGATATGAGATTATCTATTGCCTCTGCATTTGTAAATGTAGTTAATTTCCTTAGGTTGGAGTTTTCATTCCAGATCTTTCTCTAGGGCTGGGTTTGTGGATATGTATTGTGAAAATCCGGCTTTGTCATTGACTATCTTGTTTTCTCCATTTGTAGTGGTTGAGAGTTTTGTTGGATAGAGTAAACTGGGCTCACATGCTTGGACTCTTAACATTTGTAGAACATAAATTCAGGACCTTGAGAGTTTTCATGCAGAAGTCAGATGTAATTTTAGTAGGTCTGCCTTTATGTGTTACCTGGCCTTTATCCTCCATTTTCCTTAATATTCTTTCTTTATTCTATATGTTAGGTGTTCTTTTATAAGCATATCCTTCATCAGATTGGGAAAATTTTCTTCAATAATTTTGTTGAGTATGTTTTCTGCACCTTTGCGCTGGGCTTCTTTGCCTTCTTCTATGCCTATTATTGTTTGGTTTGGCCTTTTCATGGTGTTCCACATTTCCTGGATGTTTTGTATCAAGGATTTGTTGGATTGAAAATTTTCTTTGGTCAATGAATCTATTTCCTCTAGTGTATATTCATTGTCTGAGATTCTCTCTTCAATCTCTTGTATTCTGTTGGTTATGCTTGCATCTGTAGTTCCTGATTGTTTACCCAGCTTTTCAGTTTTCAACATTCCCTCAGTTTGTGTTTTCTTTATTGTCTCTATTTCAGTTTTTAAGCCTTAATATATTGTTTCCTTCATCTCTTTGATTGTGTGTGTGTGTGTTCTTTTTCTTTTCTTTCTTCCTTTTTTTTTCCTCTCATCTTTCCTTGCTTCCTTTAAGAAATTTGTTCATTTCTTGCATTTTGTTTGGTGTTTTCGTCTATTTCTCCCAATGTTTTGTTTCTTTTTTCTTCCAAGTTTTAAAAGGAAGTTTCCTGTATCATCATTAAGGGCCTCCATCATTTTTATGAAGTTATTTTTTTCAACTCATTGTCTTCTGCTTCATCTGCTTTGGTGCTGTCCTATATATGTTTCTATTGCTGGGTGTTTTCTTGTATTGCTGTCCTCCAATATCTTCTTCTAGTGGGTGCAGTTGGAGTCTCTCTCTCTCTCCCTACCCAGTGGGATAAGGTCGGTCAGAAATTCAATTCCTGTATCTCTGGTTGATCCAAGCTCTGGTTTCCAAAGTAAGGCCTTATGGTGGTCCTGCATGGATAGACAGTTTCATTGCACTCAGAGAAGACCCAGGAAGTCTGTGGAGGTGGAGGGGTTGTTGAACCCACACTCTGGCACAATGCTCACCCTGAGCAGCAGGCCCAGCAGGACATAGGTTGAGGAAAAGGTAGGCTCTGTGTGGTGTACGGATCAAAGTACCAGGATTCTCCTATCCAGGGCAAGGTTATATGGGGAATTGAGATGTGGGGGTAACTCAGGGAGTTCTTATGAGAGGGTGTGTGGAGGTTGCAGCCTGATCTGGTCCAAGACTCATCTCTTGCAGTTGGCTGTTGATGGGGTCCAAAGATAAGGTGAGTGAATGTTCAGGGTAGTCCTGCATGGATAGGCATGTCCAGTTTTCTCAGAGCAAACCCAGGAATTTCCAAGGAGTTTGAAGGGTTGTTGTTCCCTCACTCTGGTCGAATGCTACCCTGAGCAGCAAGCAGCAAGTAGAGGACCCAGCATTACAAAGGCATAATGGAAAATTTCTAAGTATTTCTAAATTCACATGTGTTCTTAAATGTTTTTTAAAAGAAATCTAATTTGGAATAAAGATATCTTTATCTAATAAGAGAGTAACTCATTTTACTAAAGTATGTAGGTCTATACATACAGACTAATTTCTAAATTATAGTTATTTTAAACATCTTATAGTTCTGGTGTGAAGGAATTCAAATTTTGATGCCTGATTAATGATTATAACCAATGAAATTTCATTAATTAAAATCATGTATAGATGAAAAAATGGATACATGGCTAAGTTAATATTTTCTATGTAAAGACTTGTTCAACTGAAATTATTTCTTCTGAGCACATTACATTTGTTTGTAGAAAGTTGATTTTGAGCACCAAAATCACTATGGCATTAGAGCTAAAGTTAAGAATCACCACGTTGACAAGGAGCTTGCATCAGCCCATGTAAATGCCTCCTCAACCTACATTAAAGTACAAGTGGAAGATGAGGATGAACCTCCTGCTTTCCTGTTACCATATTACATATTTGGAATTCCTGAAGAAAAGCAACATGGATCAATTGTAGGAACAGTATCTGCTATAGACATAGATCGAAGACAGTCTCCTATAAGGTATTTCTTTATATTTACTCAATTACCATCATCATAATAAATGATTTTAACAGGTTGACATGAAATAAAGTCTATTAAAAAAAAAAGCAAGACTTTTGTAACCCATGTATTTATATATTACTTAATACTTTTGTAAAAACAGAAATAAACATGTTTAAATGGCCTGTGATATCCCAAATGCTTAGATAGGGTCAAGGTGAAAAGGTGTGAGAAAAGGCATTTCTAATCTAAAGTTCAGCACCATGTGTGTGTGTTTATACCTGTATATGTACACATGGGTTTGTTTGATACATGTGTGTGTGTTTATACCTGTATATGTACACATGGGTATGTTTGATATGTATGTGTGGATGTCAGAAGATAACTGTCTGTCCTGCTTTATTATTCTCTGAATTGTTTTTATGAAACAGCCTTTCAATGAATAAGGTATTATGTTAGAAGCCTGCAGGCATCATTGGTATTTTTTCACAGTCCACAGTACTAGGATGCCAGATTCATAAATTGACAACCCAAGATTTTCTCACTGTACTTATGATGTAATATTACATGCTTTATCTCACTTAATGATCACCCCAGCTCTCAGATCCAAATATGTTTGCTGGCATATGGAGTGTGTGTGTGTGTGTGTGTGTGTGTGTGTATGTGTTTGTATGTGTGTGAGAGAGAAAGATAGAGTGTGTGTGTGATATCTAGCTCCATCTGTAGAGCACGAGACTCTTAATCTCATAGTCATGAATTTGTGCCCTATGTTGGGTATTGAAGGAGGGATTTTAAATGCGTTCAACAGACACAAGATACACGATAAATAGTTTTTTATTTTTTATTTTATTTTTTTCTGAAACATTTTACACAGATAAGAGTAAATAATTACTGCAGTCTCCGTGCTCCAGAAGATGCAGTCTCTGCCTTCTGATTCTCTCCATGGTCAACGGAGGACATGCCCAGAGCTCCCCTTACTTAATAAGGTCACATTTCACCTGAAACCCAAAGGGTGTTCCCATTACTACAAGTTCACTGGCAAGGCAAGATACCACTAGGTGGTGTGTGTGTGTGTGTGTGTGTGTGTGTGTGTGTGTGTGTGTGTGTGTGTATACATCTATGCTTATTAATATTAGGTGTATGTGCTAGTCAGATAACTTCTGGTAATTGTTTATTTCATTTTCCCATTTCTGCCTTAGAGATTAAACTCAGATTTTCATTCTTAGGGACAAAGCTGTTAAGAACTGAGCACTCTCCATTACTACTTTAATGGTGGAATGGATATGAGGGGAAACAAACTCTTGAGTGTACCACATCAGAAATTAAAAAATGCTGATCTATACATCACTGATATGAATAGTATTTAAAAAATACTTTCAAAAAGTAGTTTTCTATCAATAAAGACTGAAGGTATATTAAAAATCAGTGAGATTTCTGTCCTTGTCTAGAGAAATAAATATATCCTATTTTTAAAAAACTAGTTTAAGTTGATATTTTATAATTGTTTTTCTCAAAATATGAACTATAATTTAGATTAAAATAAATCCCAATATTTCTATTTTTTATTTTACAATTTTCATTGCCCGCTAACTTTTCCTACCCACTATTAAAAAATAAAAAAATAAAAGAAAAACTAACACTAAAATAAAGCAAAACAAAAACAAAACAAAAAACCAAACCAACTACATAATTACATAATCTAACACACATTTTGATTCAGAAGCTGAGAAATCTTTTACTCTTGGGATGCACTGCTTATACCCAGAAGTTGTTTTTTTTTTTTTTATGGCATAAAGATTTTTATTTAGATTTAATAGTTGCTATTGTTTCTTTGTGTTCTTTTGTTTACCTATTGTCTCAGATGCCTATTACTAGATTGCTTAACAAAACTGTATTTTATCCTATGTAAGAAGAGGCAACCTCAATGTTACCTTCTATAGAAATCAGAGAGAAATGGGGAAAGTATTTTTGTACTACCCAGAGATCTCTGTTTCTGAAATCTAAGGCTGAGATGGGGAATTGATGATCAATGGCTCAATTCCATCTGTCCAATTCTAACTATCAAGTATTTCTAAAATTACAAATTTGTAATCCAACAATATATTTGAGGTTTTTAGTAGTCTCCTTGGGGGTGGTAGTGTTGATCATTATTGTTACTAATTAAGCATCTTGACGGAAGAATGAGATGCAAGGATCATGATTACAGGAACATAATAATGAATGACTAATCTGGGGTATATTGGAAGGATATACTCCTCAGTTACAAAAGTATCTTGTAAACTGTAAGAACAGTATACAAATACTGTTCCACATAAAAGGTGTTTGCAATGCCACTTTCTGGTACTATTACTATGTACTACATAGTATTACTATAATATTAACTGTATGTAATAACATATTAATAATTACTATGTATTATTTTTACTACTTTGACAGAATGGAGGAAGTTCTTCTGCCTCTTCCACTTAAAGTGTTCAAGACCATGTATTCTTCAACACATATCAGAATGGCTTTATCTGAGTACAGTTGGGAATTTTATATGCTCTTCATGGAGTATCTGCTCCATGCTTGTCTTAGTTGGGGTTCCTACTGCTGTAGTAAAACACCATGACCAGAATGAACTTGGGAAGCAAAGGGTTTATTCGTTCTTGTAACTCTCGGGTCACAATCCTTAGTGAAGGAGATCAGGACATGAACTCAAGGGAAAAAGCTGGAAACAGTAGCCATGGAGCTCACTGGCTTGCTCAGTCCACCTTCGTGTACAATCCAAGTCCACCAGTTTTTCCTTCCTTTTTAAATATGTTTTCTTAGGATGTTTCCTTTAAAGATTCAGATTCATCGATACTGTTCTGATTTCCCTTTAACTGAGTACAAGATGACAATAGTTTCTTTCACTATTCCAAAAGCCTAGTTTTAGAAATCCCAGCCGACACAACAATCAAGCAAAATAAACAATGTAAATAATTGAATGTATTTCTAGATTCTAAACACATAATTTCAAGATCTAGAAAATAACTTGTGATTGCAATGAAGCACACCACAAGGAATTAGCAGATAATTGTACTTAGCCAATCACTTGAAATTATCCTGAGACAATTTCCCAAGTGTAATAAAATCATAATGTCTTCATAGACATGTTAATTGACATTACCCATTTCTTTGAAATATAATATGGTTGAGAAATAGTTACTGTAGAGTTGCAGGCATGGTAAAGCCAATGTTGTACCTGAAACTGTTATGTAAGACCTCTGAGAAACAAACAGAGAAGGCAGTCATGTGCCAATGGATTTAGATAATGAAATGATGTTTTTAAAATCTGCACAATGGGGGCCGATTAGCTCCTCCTTGATCAGGTCAGCTGTCTCTGTGGGGAGGATGGTTGGGGGCATGGAAAGGAGGGAGAGAGGGAGGGAGGGAAGGAGAGTGAACTGGGGTCAATATGTAAAATATTTAAAAAAATAAGAAAAGACAAAAAAAATACTGCAGAATGGTTATGAGTATCAGAACAACAGAAGTCAGAAAAGGCAACCTTCAAAGAGAAAGATATATTGCATGAGAGCACAGTTTTAGATGAAATTATATTTCTCTGTACAAGTTTGCTGTATTTTGTTCCACCAGAAAATTGTCTCTGAATAATGTGTTCTACAAACTAAATTGTTCCTTATTTGCTTCCCTAATGGCTTTTGATCTTTATTTTCAAAGTTACTTTACTTGTACATTAGAGTTAAAAGGAAAGATATGTATAGCAGAAAGAAATAATAAGGTCATGCAATTTTTTTCTCTGACCTCTACACTTTGTAAAATACTCAACTCTGTGGAGGCCTGTTTCCACAAACACAAACACATATATTAATAATGATAATAAAGTAAATAAATATATGCCAATGTACAAATGAAATAAGCAAATGAAGAATTATAATTGTAGTTTAGGTAAGTATACTAGAAAAGTATTTTTTTTAGTTTTTTAAACAAAATTGGATTTAAAGATTTTCAGATTACTCTGCTTGAGAATCATCTTGTGGCAGTTTTCTAGAGTGAAATTATTTCAAAAAACAATTTAATTAATCAGTGGGAGATTTACCAATATTTGTCACTTTGGAAGTAATCCATAACCTCTTTTTTCACTAATTGTTGTTACGTTATTGTATGTTTATTTATATTTATGTATGTATATAATCTATGAATATATACAAATATATGTATACACACATATGTGTGTGTTATCAGGGTTAAACATTTTGTATTTGATAAATATTGCTGAGTTTCTCCTTGAGGAAAATTATTTCTCTCATGCTCAGCTTCTTTAGCTGCTTTCAGTTTTATATGTATGGCTGAAGCCTTCTTGAGGTTTTCCAAACCACTTTGGCATGTCTATTTGTGTTTTTTCTTGTTCATTAAATGTTTCCACAGTTATACAAATGATATTTTAAATTTTACTTTCTGACATTACTGCTAAACAGAATCCTACAAAAACTTTCTTATCCTTTTGACTCCTACAATATTTTTCTCACTCTTAAGCTATGTTTTATGACCAGTAGTTATTAGAGTGTTTTGTAGTATTTTGCACTTCAACATGGCTCTACACATTTCTGAGACTTGATTGGTTGTGATTTTCTATAATGGTTATATCTGTTGCTAATAAAACATTCCCTAATTAGGAGGAAGTGCTATAATTACTGGGGTTACCACAACAACAAACAACATGGTAGGTTGAAGGGGGCCTTACTGCTTAGTTCTGTAAATATGTGTTTATTTCTTTATTTGAAGAATAAAGTTGTTTTGGCCAATGGACAGGCAGGATGTAGCCAGGCAGGAAGTAGAGGCAGCTATACTGGATTAGGGGAAGGCTGGGAATGAAAACACAGTAAGTTTAATTACCAGTCAGACATCATGTAGCCACCAAAATAGTAATATGCTAGAGTATCACAGGTAAGCCACAGACTCATGACAATACATAGTTTAGTATAAATGGGTTAATAATAGAGAGCTAGTCAAACAGAAGCCTGAGAGATTTGTCAAATACTTTATAATTAATAAAGCCTCAGTGTGTTTATTTGGGACTGAAGATCAGGGATACCTGCCTGGAAAAAAAATTGCCTTTAACAGGTTATTCATAAAGAAGCAGCAGTGGCACATATATTTTGGTGGTAACTAAAGGCTCTCTAATTGTTCTGAAAACCCACTCAACTAGAGGGAAACTATGCTTGACCCTAGAAACAGTTAACCACTCAGTGCTAGTAATGTTATGAAACTTGGGATAGAACATGCAACAATTAATATACAAAACTAGTTTAATTTTCCTACAGAATATAGATCAAATTATTTGATCTTGCCTATAGTCCTAGTTTCAAGCAGATGCTTGTTAAACTATGATACAACATCCTTTTTAATGAAGCTTTTAATTGACTTTTTCTTCAATATTATGTTAAATAAACAGAATCTAGATGTTAAATAAAAATGCAAACCTTAAAGTTCTATTAAACTTTGCAAGAAAATCTATTTATTCTAAAATGCACCATTTATACATATTTAAGTAAAATCTTCCTAAATCCTTTGTGATAAGTAAATAAAAAATTAACTCTTTTAAAATGTCATTGTCTATAATTGCTATTTTAACCTTCTTTGATATTAGTATATTATTTTTAAAAAATGGTCAAGACACGTATAAAATAACATCATCACTGCCACAGAAATATAGCAAATCTCATATATGTTTATAGAAATGTTTTTGTAATGTGTCTGTAATAAGGAACTACTTATGCTATGGCTATTACTCCTTATTAATTTTAATCATTAATGAATTTCAAGCAGATAATAAATACTGAGTGACCCAAATACCACTTTTATTATAGATTTGAGAAAATTTCTTTAGACTTTACCATGAAACAAATTGTATGCCACCTATTTTCCAAGAATACTAAAGCAAATTAATCATTTATGTTTACCCAAATGAAGGGACAGTGAAGAGAAAACTTCTAATATTTGAAGTTTATATCCTTAAATAATAAAGTCCTGCTATGTTATGTAGGGAAAAATAATTCTTGATAAAATGTATAAAATGTTTGTTTTAAACATGTATAGATAAACATATTTTCATACATGATATAACATACTGATTTAGACAATGTGGTATATGATAAAATTAACAGGGTAAAACTGTACTAAGGAAAGTACAGTTACTTCTCAAATGGAAACAATAACATTTTGAAAGAAATTTTGTTCATGATCTAGTTGTACTTTAGTTCATAAGGATCATGTCTCTTGAAATTTCCTCCAACTAACTGCTTATTAATTAAGCATGGATATCAGTAGAGGAGTCATGTATTTGCATTTATAATACCTCAGTATCATTCTAAATTCTTTTTAATTTACCATTTTCAAACGTTAAATTCATTTTGGACAATATAATATAATTACATAATTTGTTTCTTGCTTTTGCTTCCTCCAAAGTCTCCCATATATCCGCCACACCACTCCCTTTCAAATTCAAGGCCTCTCTCTTATTTAACTGATGCTTCCTCACTGTTTTTAAACAGCGTTTATTCTAACCAGAATCTTAAATATAAGAAGGTAGTTTGTTGGAATTTTTCAGCAACACCTTAGGTATGCAAAAAATGCACTTAAAAATTTGTCTTATTGCTTTGAAATTCTTGTTCCCTTTAATATTTCTATAAATTAAATTATACTATCTGTTTTAATATTTCTTTGCCTTTTGGTGCAGATATTCAATCACTGGAAGCAAAATGTTCCATATCCATGACAATGGAACAATAATTACCACCAACCTGCTTGACAGGGAGGTCAGTGCTTGGTACAACCTGAGTGTCACAGCTACAGAAACATGTAAGTCCTGATTAACCAGCTCCAAAGTAGATCATTAATTTTGGAAACAATTACAAGAATTTGAAATTATAGATTGGTATATATTAAATGTTATAGAAATTAAAATAAAAAATTATATGTAAGTTCATATATGTAGATAATTTTATTGAAAGTTAGTAACTGCTAACTGTAACTAAAGCTTCCTGTGAACTCACTATTAAATACTGAGTTTTCCTCATTTTACAAATATTAGCTTAATTAAAAACAAAGATTTAGTAAAACAAAGTATAATGCAAACTTATAATGCAAAATTATAATATAGTAATTATATAGCAGTATGTCATGGGCTTTGATGGTAAATATTTATATTTATATTTACAATAAGACAAAAAGATGTTTCATAACTTTCAGCATATATTCTATAGGTTAAGTCTTAAATGCATATTTAATGAAAAATATACATTAAAAACAAACATATTAGAAAAGATATTTATACTGCTGCTGAGTAGGTTTGGCTTCCTAAATTCTCCATTTGTTAAAATATTGTTATAGTTTTTTCTCACTATTCAGTTAAGCTACTGAGTGAAATTTTAAGTTCATTCTATTTTCAACTTAAAAGTTCATACTATATATACATTTATAGATAATATTTGCAGATTGAACAGGAATGACTCTCTCTTATCTATTTTAGAATGAAATATTGAAACTAAGCTTGAATATTAGTAACAAAACACATTTAAAATAAATAATATTACAATGTAATTGTGTTGTAGTAAATGAAAGATTCAAGGAATATATATATATATATATATATATATATATATATATATATATATCCCAGTTCTTGCTTTCAGACATTCAAGTTTTAATTATCCCTTCCTCTTCCCTCTTCTTATTCTTCATATATATTCATATTGCCCTTTCATAGAAAATCACATCTGTGTTTGTTGCTTGTTATTACTCTTTAAATTGTAAATTAGTCATTTATCTGATCAAATATTTCAACCAAAGCAAAAACTAATATTCATATGATAATTGACAAAGTAGTTTTATTTAGTCATTGAATATAGAGTAGCACAGCAATGGATGAAAATTGCACATGGAAATTATCTTCATTGTTATTGATTTTATCAAGAATTATAATATGTTTGGGACTTTCTTAGCATTTTTTAAGGCTCAAAGCATATTCCTGTCTTATAACACATTACATATAGCTAGTATGTAACATTTTATATTGGAAAAACTATTTAATCTGTTCTTTTCACCATTATGTTGATTATATATTGAAGCAAGAAAGGTGACCTTAGTCTTAAATTTTGAATTTTATGACTAATTAAGTGGCAAATGAGAGCAGAAATACTTTTTTCCTTTCGTATATATATTTACTATTTTCTTATTTTACATAATAATACCAGTTCTCTCTCTCCGCCTCCCTCCCATGCACCCTGACCACCTTCCCATCCAATTCCACCCCACTTCACGGGGAGAGAGAAGCCTTCCAGGATGGATCATCAAAATCTGCCCTCCTGCCTCTAGGCTAAAGTATGGAAACTCATAGGGAATGTGATCCCAAAGATCTTTAGTTCACCAGGGATACATCCTGCTTCCACAGTCAGAGGTCCCTTAGACTGCCAAGACACTCTGAGATGCAAGTTCAGGGGGTCTAAGTCGGTCCAATGCTGGTTTCCCTGCTATCAGTCTGGGTATCCATAAGCTCCTCCTTGTTCAGGGTAGCTATATCTGTGGGTTTCTGTAGCCTGGTCTTGACCCCTTTTCTTATCACTCCTCCCTCTCTGCAACTGAATTCCGGGAGTTCAGCTCAGTGTTTAGCTGTGGGTGTCTGCTTTTGTTTCCATCAGCTACTAGATGAGGGCTCTATGATGGCATAAAAGTTAGTTGTTAACTCCTTATCAAAGAAGTGCATTTAAGGTAGTCTCTTAACTGTTGCTCAGATTGTTATTTGTGGTTACCCTTGTAGAGACAGTTTTCTCTCCAAACCTATAATGGCTCTTTCTCTCCAAACCTATAATGGCTCCCTCTTTTTTTTTTTTTTGCTTTACTCTATTCATCTCCCGACTCAATCTTCCTAATCCCACATGTACACCTCTCCTCCTCTTGTACATCTATCCTCCTCTTCTCATTCTATGAACTCCCTCTCCACTCACTGCCCTTCCCATCCAAGCAAAATATGCTCAAGAATTCTTTTTCCTTTCCCCTTCTGTGAGTGACCTTGTATGAATCTCTAAGGTTCCTCCTTGTATCCTAGTTTCTCTGGTGGTATGACTTATAGGCTGGTGATCTTTTGCTCTATGTCTAAAATTCATATATGAGTGAGAAAATACCATGCTCCTCTTTTTGTGACTGGGTTACTTCACTTAGGATGGTTTCTTCAGGTTCTATCCATTTGCCTGAGAATTTCAGTGTGTAAATGTACCACATCGTCTTTAGCAGTTTTTCAGTTGATAGTCATCTAGGTTGCTTCCAGGTTCTTGCTTTACAAATGATGCTGATATGAACATAATTGAACAGTTGTTGTTGTTGCATGGATGTAGATCATTTAGTATATGCCTAACAGCGCTATTGCCGGGTCGTGTGGTAGACTGATCCCCATTTTCCTAAGGAACTGTCATACTGATCTCCAAAATGGCTGTACAAGTTTGCATTCCCACCAGCAGGTGTGGTATTACCCTTTCTCCACATTCTCTCCAGCATAAGGTGTCATTGTTGTTTCTAATTTTAACCATAGCAGACATATTATAATGACTGTATGTGGGAGAGAAAATTCCCTCACTTTCAATGAAGAGGCTCATGATAATACTCTTCAAAGATAATGTGAAAAGTAAATCATCAGTTCAAGAGAAAAATTGAAATTTTAAAAAGAAAATTTTCTAAGTACTTTGGGAGCACATTCCCCATGGAGGAATACTCCCTTAACATAGAGACAGTAGGGAGGGCCTATGCCCTACTTCAAATGACTTGAAGTAATCCATCCTGCTTGCAGGATGGATTACTCTCCCTGTGGAGTTGGTGGGGAATAGGATTTGAGGGGGATCTTGTGGAATGGGAGGAATAGGAGGGAGAGGGAACTGGGATAGATACATAAAATAAAAAATAAATATAAAAAAAGACTAAAGCAGTAAACAGAATAAAAGAACTTTTAAGTCATAAGAATTGTAATGTGACATAACTCTAAAAATAAATCACTTGAAGCTTGTTTCATACATGAAGAGAATAAAATTATATCTTCTTATACTAGGTTAATAAGTATAGGCTATTTGGAAAAATCTTTATATAGATATACAGACAATGTTTTTTATATGCATTTCTTTTTTGTGAAATGTGTGTACTTAAGTATATGAGCATTCTTGTGTGTGTGTGTGTGTGAAAACTGGAGGTCAGAGAATTACTTGGAAGTTTGAATTCTCTCTTACTATGATATGAATTCCAGGGATAGATATCATGTTTCAGACAAAGTATTAGTACTATACATCTACTGAGTGTTGCTTCTGGCCCTATAGTCAATTTTTGAAGACTCAGAATGCTGTAGTCTCTATAAATTAAATAATAAAATGAACAAAAACTTATTTGGTTAACAAAAGATTTTATTGTTATAGATGACTCACTACTAACCTACATTTTTTAATTATCTTGAATACTTTGAAGTAGTTGTCTTTAAAGACTAGAACTTTACATTACATTGTAAAATGAGGTTCATATGTATAATACCTTAAAAAAGAGAAGGAACATGTACAGTGTGGTAAAACAAACAAACAAAAAATCTTAAATTTGTTTCAGTATACATGCAAATATAAAATACTTAAGTCTAGTAATTACTTTTTTGTTTTGAAAGCAGGGTCAATGCTCTACCCTTTTATTCTTTCATCACTATATTTTATTTTCAAAATTATCTGCCTGAATCTAATCACCTTGGTAAACTTTTCATTCTATGACCATCATGATCTTGCAATTAATCCCTCCCCCAAAATATGATAAACATCCATTAACCAAATAAAGACCAAAAATACCTACTACCCCTTTTGGTAATGTGGATGTCATGTTCTTAATTTATTCCTTTTTTATTTGGGGGTGATAGCACCTTTAGGGACCATATAATGGTCAATTCCTGGAATATGTAGCTGTTTTCCTGCTTCTGTGTAATAGTAAAGGACACAGCTTATCTGAAACTCTGACTGGAGTATTCTTTGAGGCTGAACCATCTCACCTAGTTACCTTGAATATGTATTGAGCAGTTTGTATTCCAAAGCTCATCTTTGAATGATGTTTATCAGCTTAGTGGCTTTACCCAAGTTCAGGTGGAACAGTCATTGTGAACTGTCACTATCCTTTTGGGAACTTGAAATGTTGATAAAAGGAAGTGGTTCACCTTCCCTATAGAAAACATAAACATTTTAAATGTCATGTGCAGCATATTTGGAGATGTTAAAACACCACAATCTATTATATTAATTTGTGTTTCATAAGCTTCTTTCCTAGTTAACTGACTCAGACTCAAGCCTGAAATCATGTACAGGAAGCTAGATGAACCTATTTATAGAATTACAAAAGTTATATGACCATTTATATTACAAAACAATACATATATATGTATACGTATATGTATATGTATACATATATACATACATATTTACATAAATTTTGAAATAATACTAAAATATTAAGACAAGTTTTAAAGAATCAAAATAAAACTAAAGGATTGTAAGATTTGTGGTAATAAAACAGCCCTTTAATTTTGCTTTCTTCTTCTATTTTATACCATGTGGCCTTTCTGACATGTCACAGAGATTTTGGCTTTTTCTTTACTTAGTATTCTTGGCTTCAGAGAGGGAGAAAACCATACTCCAAGTCCAAAACAAGTTTTCATTCTCAATTGAATTGGGACTACAGAAATTCCATTTTCTTCATATATAGATGACAATAGAAAAATATGGGAAGTATTATTAAATTTTATCCCGTTGGAAAAGTGCCATACTAATCAATACTAATAGGCCAATTCATTATTCATTCTTTTTCTGAGACATTTACTCTGGATGATTCTACTCTAAACACTTTTGTTTATGTGTGAATATTTTCTTAATTTCATTAGGAGGTCTTCCTAAAAACTATCTTTTCCATCCATTTTTTATATTTGACTGTGATATTATACCACATATTAAAGAATAACACATGAATCAACAAATTGATATTAATTATAAAACACATAATGTCAATCCCAGAAATGTTGATTACTCATTCATTTAATTTTTCCATAATCTGATTATTCATTGTGGAACTATGCAGCAATCTAACTTCCTTCATAGCCTTATTATTCCCCATTCATAACATGAAGGGAATTTATTTAAAACTAATTCCCTTTAAGAATTACCAAGTATCTTACCAGATCTGTTGATGACAACAACAAAGTTTGATCCTGGCTGTGCTTCATAGCTTAGCAGAGAGCAAAAAAAGGACATAGTTTTCCTGAAGGCAGCTTCAGTTGCTCATATATATCAGGAGCCTGAGATTGTATGTCAGTAGCTGAAGCAGTAAAAGCAAAGCAGTTGTAGAGGTGGCCAACCATGCATGGCAGCAGCTCAAAAAAGGGATCCTGAGGAAGCCTAAAATCCAAAGGAAGAGAGAACAAGCATCTTGAGAAGTGGTAGTATGAGATGCCTATCTGACAGAAATGCACATGGCAGCAAGTGTGAGCACAGGGGTTTTTCTGAAGGACAGAGCTGACTGCCAGTGGGTGGCTAAAGCAGGAAATCTTAGGCCCTACTGCCTGTGACATTTGGTCTTGGAGAGGGCAGCAGCTGGGTTCTGCTCTAGACAGGCTGCAGTGGGAAAACACCAGGTTCAGGTAGAGGGACTTGAGAATAGGAAGGAAAGACAGCCATGGTGGCTCATCTGTTGTATATAAAGACTGTGGTGAAGAGCTGCCTCATGATTTCATATGCAGTGCTTGACACCATAAAAAGGCTATGTTCTAATTATTCTTCATCAGTAAAAGTCAGGAGCCAGATATGATGGTAAAAACCTGATTGATCAGAGAAATTATTGAAAAGCAGTGAGTGACCGCTCTCCTTCCTTGATCATTAAGGTCCAAGAATGTTTCATAGCCCTAGCTTACTACTTCCTATGTCTCTCTATATTTTCTTAGTCCTCCGATAATTCTATGACTAATTTTTATCAACTCATAGATAGCTCTCTTCTCTGATTCAAAGTAAACTTTATTGTCAGTCTTCAAAGTTTCAGAGTAAAATGAAAATGCATATACATATATATATATAAATATATATATGTTTTGTGTGTATGTGTGTGTGTATATATGTATATATATGCCCATATATATGTGTGTGCATAATATTCTTATATTTTGCCATATAATAATGATATTATTATTTATTTTTATCATGGGAATAATGTAATATTAAATTAATATCACAAAATGGGCAATCAGTCAAGCCTTCAGCTCTTAACCCTTACCTACACTCTACTACTGAGCAACAACTTTAGGTTATTTAAAAAAGAAATGGCTTCAAGGATTTACATAACATACATGTATGCTTGCACATATACATACAACATTCATTCAATAGTCCTGTATGAATTCATGCTTTAATGCTTGAATTCATAAATTAATGCAAGAGAATGTAGTACCACAATGGTTTTTATATTGTGGAAACATAACCAAATAATGATAGTGACAAGTACCTGCGAGGAACATTTGAAGTTCTCCAGGAAAAACATTTTAGGCATGTTGATGGAGATAACAGCAATAATCAGTTGTATTCCCTGAGTTTTCTTCCAGGGTACTTGGGTTTCAATCACAGTACCCATTCTGCTGCAGTCAAGCTCCAGAAGGGTTTAGGTCCTGAAGAGGAGGTGTGGAATACAGGTGACAAGAAAAGAGGATTTAACAGTCTGAGGGTAAACTATAACTGCCTCTTGTGTGTTTTGGCTTTTGTTGGATAAACTTAACTCAAGCTAGAGTCAGTATGGAAGAGGAAAATAAAGCTGAGGAAATGCCCCAAAAAATTACTATGGGGGCAAACCTATTCCTCAATAGATTATTGAAAATGGAGTACCCAGATAGCAGTGGTAGTATGTATTTTGGGGTGGTGTTCCTTAGTGTTATAAGAAAGCATGCTGAGCACCCAAGAAGAGTAAAGCAGTAAGCAAAATTCCTTCACAGATTCATTTTCAAGCCTCTATTACTGATAAATATATGGATTACATAGTTCAACCCTTAGTTTTCCTCAAATAATTATATTAGTATACAACAAGCCTCTAATTCAATTTATTGCATGACTTTTAATAAATATGTAATTAATTGTACTCTATATCTTCATTTGCAGACAATGAACAACAGATGTCTTCTGCTCCTGTGTATGTACAAGTTTTTAATATTAATGACCATGCTCCTGAATTTTCTCAGTACTATGAGACGTATGTTTGTGAAAATGCTGAATATGGTGAGGTAAGAAAGAGATCACAATTGTTCACCAGAGCCTGAGCAAGAGAGCAATTAATGTTCTATATTTTCTAAGTATAATATGTAGTAATTGCTAATATACGGCATCATATTTTATATTACAGAAAGTATATAATTTGTGTTATATTCATTATTTTATATATATATACATATGCTATATACATTTTTATTAAAGGCCATAAGACTTTGTATACCTCTCTTATAACTTTACATCATAAACACTTAAATCCTTATTGTAAAAGGAGTTTGTAATTGGCATAAGTAATAAAAACTCAAAGTCAGATATAGAAGAAAGTGCTGAGAGATTAGTGAGAGGGGCAAGGCATGGCCAAACTTTACCTCCTTTACATCTCTGCAAGAGAGTTTCTATTTTTCCCTGCCTATGTCCTGTTTCTACCAAGATATTTTACAGTCTGTCTGTATAGACCTTCAGAACTATATGTTTAGCTAGTTGCAGACTCAGTTCTCTGACTTTCAGATAGGCTTTATTTATATAAGTTAAGTATCTCCATATATGCCCCTTTTGGTCTATTTTTAAAACATAGTTATAACTAATATAAGAAAACTATATACAGTAACTATAACAACTATGTATAATATATATAGGAATAAATCAATGAAAAATATCTAGTCCACTAACATTTTACAATTTTAGAGAATATACTCCATTATCTATTCTTTCTTGATGAGTCCAAAGTCTTGTAACTAATTTACTTTCTATTCTAATTTACATTATCAAATTACTGTTTACTGTCTTTCAAATATATTAAAATTAACATATTTTTAGTGAGTTTCTATATTGAATCTGGAATGAAAAAAAAGAGACAGTGTAACTGTACTATATAATCTATAACTCCCTCAGAGACACAAGAAGGAAATAATATTGAGTACACAATGAGTGCCAGCAAGCAATGTCCAAATATGTGAGAAATGACAGAAAAAGCTGGCTGCCTAGACATTCATCCAAGGTTGGTCTGCAATGTTTGGGCATCTTTTTAGCCTATAGGCCTAGCATCTCTGACAGATATTCCTGTAAAACAGGACATTCTGAAAGACTCAACCACCTTGTCTTCGCAAGTTTTACAGTCACACTTTATGGTGTCCTGTTTTTCCAATTTGGACAGCATCTTGTTAGCAGTTGAGGCAAGGGCACTTTCTTGCTCAGTGGCTTACCTTTACCACAAGGAAAGTAAACTCCATGTAGAGTTTTTTTTTTTTTGATGCCCATATCTTGTCTGATGTATATTGATGTTTCCAGGATCATTATCATAAAAAAGAATCTATGTTATTAAAACATGCCAATGCCAAGCTCTGTGTATCTCTGAAGTGTTTAAAGATGACTGGTCTTTATAAAATATCTCTTTGATCTTGTAAGCATAACTATTGCAACTACAAGTTTAAATATAATAGTTAACTATTTACTAAAGTACATTTCCTTTCTCTACTATATAGTTGTTAAGAATAAAGTTCAAGAACTATAAATTTGAATTACATTGTAAAATGAGCTCTACAGGTATAATATTTGAACAATATTAGACATGTATTTACAGTGTGTGTTAACATAATTTATTTCAATTTCTTAACAATATACAACCTTTGTATATATTATACAATAATAAAATCTATAATAATATATTCAAAACAAGTAGTTGCTTTTTTGAGAATAGATTCAAAAATCTGTCTGACTGTCTTATCATATCTTTATCCTCTATTTATTCTTTTCATAGTTGATTCAATAATCTGTTCTTTTTATCTGCCATATTTGTATTCCTTTTTTAACAAAAAAAACTTGAATATGATCCCCTTATTTCAACTACCTTCCTGATTGTAAGCAATATACTTTTGACCGATACCCCTAAACAATGACAAATATAAGTAGCCCAATGAGAGACCATACATCTTTCAACCCATTTCTTGGGAATGTGGGCATCTTGTTCTGAAAGTTACTAGCTGCTGTATAGGGGTGATGTAAATTTTAGGGTATCCTGAAAAAAATTTGGGTTAATTATTAAGCTGTATCAATTGTTGTCCATTCTCTGTGTAATAGATAATTACAGGGTTTGTTTGAAATCCTAGCTAAAGGAGTCTGTGAGGCTGGATCAACTCCACTAACTACCTCAAAATTGTTCTAAGCTGTGTATCAGAGACTGGATAATCTCCCAAATTCACCTAAAAAATGTTATGAACAATTTGTAGTCCAAAGCTAATCTTTGCTTGGTGATGTTCAGATTAATTGTGTTATCATAATACTGGTGAAATTGTCATTGTGAACCTCTTACTCCTTTTGGAGACTTCCAAGGTCACTTGATACAGCATCATTTCTTCAAATTAAGAGGTGTCTTGTTCAAAACAAATCGTTATTAATTTTGATTCTATTTATATTTTTCATTACATGTACAAGGAAAAGCAAAACCTCCTCCCCAAATGTAACATGTGTCCTGCTTATTTGGTAGTCAACACATCTTTGAGGTCCACTTGTTGGTTCCATTCCATAGTTTTTTTTCTATTAATGATGTGTTTCAAAACTAATAATGCATTATCAATCTATTTTGAGGAACCTTCATCTTCCATTTCTGTTTATTTAGCATATCCTTTAGAGTTTGATATGATCTTCCTATACTATCTTCCATGTATGATTGTGTGGTATAACTGTAATATGCTGTATGTTATAATAAGCAATATCATTGTCTTAGAGACATATGGTGGAGAATTGTTTGTCTTTATTTGTGCAGGTGTACCCGTGCTGTCCATGACTTTTAGCAAATGTGTAATTACCAAATCAGCCTTTTTTATTAATCAAAGCAGTTGCTCAATGAAAACCTGAATGGGTATCAATGGTGTGACAGACATATTATATTTTTCCAAATCAACAAAATGGAATGCATCTGTCTGCCAGATTTCATTACTTTGAGTATCTTTTGAGTTACTTCCTGTAGGAAGTGGATTTCATAAAAATAACAAGAAATTTCCTTATAAATTCCTTGGCTTGTTTTCATGCAATAGTAAAGTCTTTTTGTTTTTTATTTTTTATTTTTGAAGCTTTGATATTGACATGTTGATTTTTATTGAAAATATGAGGCCTTTAGCACATTTCATACAAAGAGTGATTAATTTCATAATTACCTTGTGCTAGAGGGCCAGGCAGACCTACATGGGATCAGATATGTGGACCCATTATCTATATTTGAATCAGATAGTGAAATGTCACACATCTAATGATAAATTATAGATTGAGGAAATTGCTTAGGTATCATTTCCAATGGTTGCCATACAAAATATTGGCCCAGGATGGGGCTTTTTAATATTCCTGCTGGAAAACATTCCACTCTTATCTTTTATCAGGTTAAGAATTATTGTAAGTAGACACTGTGAAGGCAAATTTTTCCTTATCATTTTCTTGTAAAGTATAGTGAAGAAGCAGTTTTTTAAGTCAATAACTATATTAGGCCATCCTTTAGTTAATAACTATGGCAATGGCATTCCAGGAAGAGCATGGCACTCTTAATCTCAGAGACATGGGTTCATGCTCCATGCTTGGCCACAAAATATAAAAGGATCTTTTAATTGATCTAAGTAATAAAAACCTGAAGTGAATTTATAGGGGAAAATACTGAAACATCAGGGAGAAGATGCAAACCACATCTAAACACACCTCCTTAGTATCACAGCAGACAAGAGTGCAAGTTCCTGTTTCTCCCTGCTTATATCCTGTTCCTCCCCAGCTATCTCATCTCCTGTCTGTCTGTGTGCTTCTCTATACCTCTATGGTTAGATATTATCAAGCTCCATTCTCTGACCTTCAGACAGGCTTTATTTGTACAGTCAAGGTTCTGCCACACTTTATCATAAACAAAGCAATGTATTTTAAGGGAGGGAAAAATGTTCCATTTTATTACATTAAACTATTATATGTAATGATTATACACTGTTGTACTAAATAGCACAATATTCCACATATAAATATGATAAATATAAGTGGCTTATAAAGATAATAATTTTAATGTGTATATATTATGACTATAGACATATTGTATCATGTTTATGCACTCATATGTAATATGTATGCTTACATATTATATTATATATATATACTTATATAAGTAGTAAGTATATATATTAATATATTAACACACAGAGCAACATATGATATTTTGACCCAGGAGCAAAGATATATATATATATATATATATATATATATGTGTGTGTGTGTGTGTGTGTGTGTGTGTGTGTGTGTGTGTATATATGTAATTTTTTCTTATTTTTACAAATAGATAACAGTTCCCTCTCCCTCTCTCCCTCTTATGTCCCCTGCCTCAATTCCCATCCCATTCCCCCAACCACTTCACTTGGAGGGTAATATTTTCCAGGAGAGATCATCAAAATCTGTCAAGTCATTTGGAGTAGGGTCTAGGCCCTCCCTCCTGCATCTAGGTTAAGGGAGTATCCCCCCATGGGCAATATGCTCCCAAAATCCTTTTGTGTACCATGGATACATGCTGGTTCCACTTCAGAGGTCTTTTAGATTGCCCAGACTTTCTAACTGAGACCCATATTCAGGGGTTCTGAGTCAGGACAATGCTAGTTTTCCAGGTATCAATCTGGGGGTCCATGATCTGACCCAGCAGCAATATTTTTAAAAGAATTTACTACAGGGAGAAGATTGACAGACATATATAATGTCTTATATTCCTTCCAGAATTACAGCTCTCAAGGAACCACACAAATTGATATGAGTAATGAATATGGAGGGAAAAAAGCAATGCATTTTTATGACAAATTAGTGAAAATTTAAATATTTTAAAACAATTCTACTGATTAAAAATTGAGTCACCAGTGTGTGCAGAGGATAAGTTATTGTCACAATGAACTTATGGTGTGTGTAGCACATGATATATAACCTGAACTGGAGAATAGGATATGGAATTGTGCTCTTAACACAATGTCTCATGAAAACATGATCAACATGTAATGAGAGAGAATGAGTT